GCTTTGTGCTACAGCTGTTGAGATACAGCTGATTCCTAAAAGACAGCAAGTATCGGGCATGCCAGCCAATCTTTATACAATTTAGCCTCTTTGTTCTTCTGAACTTAAAAAGAACTCTCCATTGGGCTAGAAAGACAACTCAGAGGTTAAGAGTACAAGTTGCTTTTAGGAGTGGTTCCTAGCACTTATGTCAAGTAGCTCACAAATACCTATGACTCCAGCCCCAGGAGATCTGCCCCCCTTCTGGCCTCTGCAGGTACAAACATGTACACACTCACAAACATACAAATAAAAGGAATTTTTGCTGTTGTTGGTTTTTCAAGACAAGTTTTCTCTGTATAACAGCCCTGGCTGTCCTGGAACTCTTTTTGTATATCAGGTTGTTCTCAAACCCTCACCACCTGCTTCTGCCTGAGTTCTGAATTCTGGGATTAAAGATGTGGGCCACCACTGCCTGCCAAATTGATTTTTTTAAAAAAAAATTAGAATTCTCATGTCAGGCAGTGGCAATTCATAACCTTTAATCCCAACATGAGGGAGGCAGAGGCAGATGAGTCTCTAAGTTCAAAGCCAGCCTGGTCTACAAAGCAAGTTCCAGGACAGCCTGGGCTACACAGGGAAACCCTGTCTTGAAATAAATGAACAAAAGAGTCTCCATTAGCTTTCTGATCACTCAATTCATATTTTCAAACTATCTCTTATCCATTCTTAAAGATTTATCTCATTTTAAATTATGTGTCTGTGACCGAGTGGTGGTGGCGCACACCTTTAATCCCAGCACTTGGGAGGTAGAGGCAGGCGGATCTCTGTGAGTTCGAGACCAGCCTGGTCTACAAGAGCTAGTTTCAGGACAGGCTCCAAAGCAACACAACAGAGAAACCCTGTCTCAAAAAACCAAAAAAAAAAACCAAAAATAAAAAAAAAGGTGCTGGTATCCATGGAGGCCAGAAGCATCAGATCCCTGGATACTAGAATTACAGGGAGTTGTGGGCCACCTGAGGTGGGCGTTGGGAATCAAACATTGGTCCTTTGCAAGAGCAGTAGGTGCTATTTATTAATCACTGAGTCATCTCTCAGCCCCCTAGCTATTTTAAGATAGGGTCTCAATAGGCTGCTCTAGCTAGCCTTCAACTGCTGGACTTAGATGATCTTCCTGCTTCAGCATTTCAAATATCTAGGACTATGTGCAAGAACGTCTTAGTCAAATAATCTCTGAATACATAAAATCCAACAAGTTTCCCCAAATACTAACCCATCAATATTGAGCTATTTATATCCAATTATCTCTATACCTTTAGAATGTGTCTAGCTCTATTCCATGAGGGTTAGCTACTAAATAGTGTTAAAACCTAGGGCAGGCAGGCAGTGGTGGCTTTGATCCAGGACTCGAGAGGCAGAGGTAGTTGGATCTCTTTGAGTTTGAAGCCAGCATGATCTACAGGGCAGTTAGGACTACATAGAGAAACCTGGTTTTGAGGGGGAAAAAAAAGCAAGCAAGCAAGCAAGCAAACAACAATAAACAAACAACTAACCAAAAACAAACAACTAGGGAAGTCAAGAAAATATTTGAAACAAGAACTAATCCTAGGGTCACCTCTCCAAAGAACCTTTATTTGAGAATTAAGATTCTCAAATGCTATCTTAATTAAGGAAGAAACAGAAAAAAAATAATGTGGAGATTTTTGATATATAAATTACTGTAAAAAGATTAAATGGTACTGATTTTAGGGAAAAAGGAGTCACTAGGCTTTAAGACAAAAAGGTGTGCTCATTTCAAGTTAAAATAATGCTAGAGAGGATTACACAGGGCAGCAGCTCTAGTGCAGTCAATTTCTGATTCTTCACAATCACCACACAAAGGCAGCAGCTAAGGCCAGGAGTGTGGCTCCGGATTAGAATGTTTACCCACCATATGCAAGGCCCTAGTTTCAACCCAAGCACCACCGCCTAAACAAGCAACTAGACCGCAGATACCCAAACTCATTAACTCACCGAATACAACAAAACCCAAAAAACAAAGGACTTGAGAGAATGGCCATAGCCTTTATTTAAATGTGTCTAAATAAGAGAGGGCAAGAGAAACAACCCAGTGACTGGTGGAGCTGCAAACAGAAACACACCAACCAATAGGCATTCCCTGGGAAGCCCCAGGGGAACAATTTGTCAGTGCTAAGCAGGCTCCAATAAGAAGAGGTCAAGTGACACATGCCCACGGCTGCTGTAGCCTGTCTAAACTCTTAAAATGGAGCCTTGACGCTCTCTTCCAGGACAGAGCCCACACTTAGTATATAGTATGGAATGGAAATAAAACTTGAGAGAAGAGGGTCAAGCAAAGAAACAGTCCAGAGAGTAATGACAGGAATAAGCTACACATGGTGGCACACCTGCAATATCAGCACTAAGCCTGAGGCAAGAAAATTGACACTGTATTTTTAAAAAAGGAGAGAGGGAGAAGGCTGGATTTCCAGCACATGGGAGGCAGAGGCAGGCAAATCTCTGTGAATCTGAGTCCAGCCTGTCTACATAGGGAGTTTCAGGGCAGCCAGGGCAGTGAGACCCTGCCTCCAAATAAATTTTGTAGAGTGCTTGGAAACTTTTAGAAGCCTATCCACATAAACTTTAGTGATAGATAAACAAATACAACAGGAAAAACTTCATGAAGTTCAACCTACCAGAGTCACCTCCTTGAAATTTAGAGAAAGTTCATATGGCTAAAATACTTATATAACCCTAAATAAAGTTATAATTGGAAACAAGTAAAATTACAACCTTTTAGATAATAAAGCATATTTGAAAATAAAATACTCAGAAAGCTGGCTTGCTTGCTACAGCACCTCCTTTAAGTCCAGCACTAGGAAGGCAGGTAGAAGGTCGGCTCAAATTCTGAGCCAAGGAGGGCAGAGTGAAACCCTGCCTCAAAACACAAAGGCCTGGAGAGGGGGCTCAGTGTTTATGAGCAAGAGCTGCTCTTGCAGAAGACAGGGTTCAAGTTCCAGTACCCACAAGTGGTTCACAACTATCTGCAACTCTATTCCCAGGGGATCCAATGCCCTCTTCTGGCTTTTTCAGGCAATACTCATAAACCAAAGATTTCAAAACAAGTTTAAGAATTAAAAAAAAAATACAAGCTACAAAAGAAAAATAGCAAAAGTAGAAATGAAGGAGCTTAAAAATGAAGGGACAAGAGTTCAAGAATACTAAATAAAAGGGAAGAGGAGAAAAAATCCAAAAATGAAAGCTCATGTTAAGAAATTACAAGAAAAGAAATGAATATGTTACATGCAACCTTAGGAGACACATAAGATGAAAGAGTTAATGAAGAAGATGGGGGTGGGAAATGAGGAAGGGGACTCTTAGAAGACAGGGTTAAGTGCTAGCTAGGAATATATATTGCACAGATAAACACAAACCGTTTTTTTTTTCTTTTAAAGACAGACATGTAATCCCAGCAACTAGGGAGGCCAAAGCAGGAGGAGTCCAAGTCTAACTCGAGACTATGTAACAGCCAGATTCTGTCTCAAGCAAAACTCCAAAGTCAGTGTGTGCTAGAGATGGGATCTAGGGTCTCCTTGTGCACTCTAGGCAAGCTACCCCCAACCACCTGAAAAAGTAAGGACACTGTGATTAAAAGTCTTGAGGGGCTTCCTGCTGGCAAATTCAAGTCCCTACTGGGAAGGTTATGTGGGGGCTGGATTCACAGTAACTCATTAAGTTATATATTTGCTTCAAAAGGTTTCTGTATCTACATTTCACTCTACAATACAGATAACAATTTTTGGAAAAATCTCTAAAATAGTTTAATAAAATGAGAAGGCAAACCAAGAGACTGACTGTCCCATAATATTTAATAATCATGTTTGGCAGTATGATGGACTTAAGTCTACAGTAGCTACTTGTTGCTCCTCAAATAACACATTTTAGAAGTATCTGACCTTTATTTGTAGATCAAAGTGCAAACTTTTAAGATATGTAAAACATATCTTTTTGATTAAGACAGCCAAGAACATTTATTTTTGAGACATAATCAGGAGAGTCTCAAAAGCCAATATAATTCAACAAGTATTATCAAGTGAGTATCACAACAAGGTACTTCAATTTAGTTAAAGGGACACAGAGATCACCAGAACAGAACATTTTGATTAGTGCCCCGAGAAAGGCAAAGCACTACAGCCTCAGAAGAAAGGGTAGCTCACCTGCTCTATGGCACTAGCATTCTGACCAGGCTCAGCTCACATTCCTCTAATCCATCCTCAGTACCGGCAGAATTCATCTTTGAAAGACCCAAAGCCCACTTTCAAAACACTTCACAAAGAACAGTGTAAGGAAGGTAACTGAAGAGACTCCCACGGCCAAGTAGGCAATAAATGAGTACAGATGGACTGCTGTATAAGACATACAGGAGGATGGGGCCTGCTTGTCTAAAATAAAGGCAATTACTTCTAGTCAGTTATTACACTGAAAGCAACACTATTGCAAAAGGCTGGATACAATTCTTTACATTGATTCTAGCATGTACTTATAGGGAAAACCATAATACCTGTAATACCAACACCTGACAAAACAACAGTTTTTTGTTAGTGTTGTACATTTTTTTGTTTTGAGACAGGTTAACAGTCCTGGCTGTCCTGGTAACTAGCTCTGCAGATCAGGCTGACCTCAAACTCACAGAGATCCACCTGTCTCTGGCTCCCAAGTGCTGGGATTAAAGGTGTACACTGAAAAAACAAGTTTTAAGGTCAGCCTTTCCCTGCAGTTAGGTTCAAGGCCAGCCTGAGCTACATGGCACCCTGCCTCAAAAAATAAAGAATTGGGAAGGGAAGGCAGACAGACATTAGGCTAAAAATCAGTGTAGGCAGGATACAATGTATTCATTTTTATGCTCTAGCAAAACTGTAACATTCAGTGAGCAAATATTTAAAAAAATTATTATAACAGAATGTCATGCTAGGTAACTGAACAGCGAGATGTGGAGTCCAGCAAGCCCACCAGCTACCACTCACCTGCAGGGCCTGACAGACAGCTGAACCTCCCGAGTCCCAGGGAGCAGCAAACACTATTTGGCTCACAGGAACAAGAAAGCAGTGGTATTCCTGCCAGCTGAGGCGTGTAAAAAAAGCTTCTCAGCTTCTCTATCAAGCATTCTTACGGCTCCTGCTTGGAACAGATCAATATGCAAGCATTTCATTCTGACAAATAACCCATTTTCTTAAAGGACTTCAGACTGTAATACGAAGAAAATATGGATTTTTACTATGATAGATCTCTGTGCAAATACCCAGCACTACATTTACATAATTTCTCATTATTTGTTTCTTATATATATACAAAAATACAACTATGCAGAGCTGATGCTGGGGATTATATACTCATACATGTACCTAGCAGCAAAATACTACTGCCAAGACACAGCAGACAACTAATAAGGGGTAGAAATTATTGCTATAATTATTAATAAATGTTCAGTAAGCATAAAAGAAAGGAGCATTTACATTGGAGAGAGACGGCTCGGCAGTTAAAAGCTCATACTGCTCTTCCAGGCGACATGGGTTCAGCTCCCATGTCAGGTGGCTCATAGCCACCTGTAAATCCAGATCCCACACGCTGATTTATGTGTGCGCAGGTCGGGGTTGGGAATTCATTCAAGTGAACATTTAAGGATGAAACAAAGTCACAGTGCAGTAAAATCTTAATTTAAAAGAAATGTCTTCCCACTTTTATTTGCATTCCTTCTTTTTAGATAAACCACAATGATACATTTTTATTAGTTTCCTAAGTACCTTACTTCTAAAGTCATATACAAAGTTCAAAATATATTAGCCATCCATGGTAACATACACCTATAATCCCACTATTTAGGAGACAGAGGCAGATGGATCTCTATGAGTTCCTGGCCAGTTGGAGCTACACAGAGAAACCCTATCTCAGGGTGTGTGTGGGGAGGACCTCTATTACCAGCACCGTATCACTGCAAAAACCTAGTATTACATTCTACGCAGTGAATCCACAAATTAAAGAGTATTTATACAATTTAGGAAGAATTTTAAAGCTGGGTATGAGGCTCCATACCTGTGGTCTGAACATTCAGAAAACTGAAGCAGGAGACTCAACAGTTAGAGACCAGGGCTAAGCAGTGAATTTGGGACCAGTCTGGATCTACAACTAGATCTTATCTTAAGAAAAAAGAGGGCCAGCAAGATGGTTCATCAAGTATAAGCACCTGCCACGTCCCGAGGACTTGAGTTTGACTCATGAAAACCAATCCCCCCAAACTGGCCTCTGTGCACGTGCCCGTTCTTTCCTCAATGTGTCTTCCCAGACACATATTTTCACACATCAACTTAGAATTATTTCTCAAACAAACCAAACAGGTTTCTGGGGGTCAAAAGAACCAAATGCACAGGATCAGGAACAAACTATGAGGAAGGCAAGATGTGCTGGAGAGATGGTTCAGTGGTTAAAAGTGTTTGCTACTCTTGCAGAGGAGGAGGGTTCATTTCTCAGCAACCGCACTGGGCAGCTCACTACTTGTAACTCCAGGTCCAGGTGATCTGACACCCTCTTCTGGCCGCCTCAGGAACATGTACACACACACAAAATAAAAAAATTTAAAAAGGCAAGAAAATTCTTACCTTCTTTAAAACCTGAAAACTCTAATCTGGCATGGCAGCATACACCTGTAATCCCAGCACTCAGCAGCACGTGGAGGCAGGAGGATCAGGAGCCCCAGTATACAATAGGATCTCTAGGAGTTGCAGGCCAGCCTGATCTACAAAGCAAGTTCCAGGCCAACCACAGCTACATACGAGACCTTGTCTCAAAAGTGCAGAGGCAAAAGGGTCACTCCAATTTCAAAGCCAGCCAGGATCACACAGTGAGAGCTTTTTCAAAATACACACACCCACACACCTGAACAAAACTTTAACGATAGCTGACAAGAGTTAAAACTATTCTGGTAACTTCTCAATGTAACCTAGAAGAATGAAAGTGCTGACGGCAGAAGGATAGCTCCTTTTATGGTGCACATACTAAACTTGTATGACAGTGGCTTACAAACAGCCACTTAAAGAGCTTTATTTAGACTTTTATGGCTTCGGTAACTTTGTATTTATAAATCTTAATGAAATAAGAGCACAGAGTAAGACAGTAAATCCTACTTTATGATTGAATCAGACATACTCCTGGGGTAAAACAACGTCTTTCTTGCCTGAAACCCCAGTCTTACCACCTAAATTCAGTAGACGCTCAAAAGCACTGGTCCAGGTTTAATTTTATTTTAATGTAAAAGAAAACTAGGTTGAAGGACATTTTTCGAAAAATCAATCAAAATTGGGTCAAGGCCTGTAAGCATGGACTATACTTAACACTTTGCTTCGAAAGTAGATCTGCTATGGTATGGAGATGTGGATAAGATTGTGTACACACACACACATAATAAAATCTGACAAACATAGATCATAGTCAGTGATGAAGGTTATCTGTTCTACAGTACTCTTAATACACTCTAAGACACTTCACCTTTTACCTTCCTCCCTAAACCTATAAGCCAGGTCTCATCAAGAGAAGGACATCAGGTAAATCTCAACTGAGGGACATCTATAAATTTCTGATTAGGTCTTAAAGCTGTCATGTCATCAAAGTCTGAAAAAACTGTAGTTATGGTATAAAAAGGGACACTAGAGAAAAATTAGAGAATTCTGAATGATGCATTTAATAGTAATGTAGAGGAAACCTGTTTCCTTAATTGTGACACTGTACCAGAGTAAGAAAGACGCCGACAACTGGAGAAACTGGGTTTTTGCGTCTTTCCTGTACATGCAAAACTACTCTTACAGTCTGTTTAAATAAAAATTAAATGAGGATAAATGTTCTTCTGGCCTCTGGTGACAAGGAAGTAACAGTATCTGCTGCAGTGGAACCATCGGCACTGACACTGTTCATTACAGACCCCATGTGACCAAGGCAAAGCCCATGGCACTCCAGCTTCCCAAGCAGCACTCTCAGTCCTCAACACTTCAACTACTACTCAGGAAAATTCACACCACTAGCTGCCGCCCCGGACTCAGCCCGCACCCAGGTCAGGTCCACCCTGACCTCTCCCACTGCCCTACATTCAGCTTTCTGTCAATAACCATCCTCTTTAACTGCAGTTACTTTTTCCTTCTGTAATGCTCTTTCCAGTTCCTCCCATTTCCTCTGAGCACCGCACACACTGCAGCAGTCAAATGAATCTTCCTCAAAAGAGGACTCCTTCATTCCCCCCTCCTTCTAGAGGAAATAAGACTATATGTAAATTCAGAAGAGGTTCCTTTCACCTTTAAAGACAGATCTATTTATCTTCACACCTCGTACACAAATCCTACTTTTCTTTATTCAGACTAGGTAGAGAGTATAGATCGAAAATAAGGCTCTAATGAGTGGTCAAAGCCTATAATCTAATAAGGGTGACAAAAGCTAAAAGATAGTAAAACATGAAGGAATTTCTCTTGTTCAATATTATTCACTCCTCCTATAATATAGGCTGACACATGGTTACTCAATATTTATTTATTTTTTTATTTTGTTAAGTCAAGAGGCAGTAGAGAATGCTATAGCCTAAAGAATTATATGCTCTTACAGAAGGAAAAGAAATTACAGTTGAACGTAAAGATGGGTCTATAAGTCTATGATTCCAAGGCTCACAGAGCAACCCGCATTTTAGTCAGGCCTAAAGTTCAAATGTCCAGGTATATTCCAACCAATAATCAGGTATGGTCAACACAGATATAAAGTAAGCTGCAGTGCTGCGCTGAGGTGTAAATAACTACGTTTCCACACGACAGTGGAACATTAAGATGGAAGAGGACTGGAACCAAAGTGTGAAAGTTAAGAAAAAACTCATATTCACGGGTGAGTTTTAATAAGAGGGTGTGGCCATCTGGGTGGCATTAACTGTGGGAGAGTTATGGAGGCAGCAAGGCAGTTCCCCATCCACTAAGCTGCCTAGTCTCCCTCCGTGGCCTCTCACAGCTCCGACCTTCATACAGTTAGCTCCAGACTGTCTCAGCTGTGAACTTTCCTCACAACCCAAGAAAAAGATCAGATCTAGGTATCTTTTTCTTCTCTAAATCAGTAAAGCCCTGAACTCTCAAGGCTGTTTTTCGAAGACTTTTGCATTTACATAAAACCCAATTATTAAATTACACAATCTAAAAGCAACAGTAACAAAATGGACATTTAAAAAAAACATTCTTGACATTCTTGCAGTTGTGGTGATGCAAGTCTTTAATTCCAGCACACTGGAAGCAGAGGCAGAAGGATCTCTGTGAGTCAGACAGTGAAAAGCCCTGACCCAAAAAACCAAACCAAACAAACCCCAAAAACATTCTTGGGTATAAAAAAAAAAAAAAAAGAAGAAGAGTATATGAATTTGCGTGGGTATAGAGGTGGGATTGGTTCTACGGAGTTTCGCCATATGAAATTCTTAAAGAATAAAAATATTATTTTTAAAAATAATCATTCTTGGGGGCTGGAGAGATGGCTCAGAGGTTAAGAGCATTGCCTGCTCTTCCAAAGGTCCTGAGTTCAATTCCCAGCAACCACATGGTGGCTCACAACCATCTGTAACGGGGTCTGGTGCCCTCTTCTAGCCTGCATGTCTACCTGCAGACAGAACATTGTATACATAATAAATAAATAAATATATAAAAAATAATCATTCTTTTGAATTGTTGAAATACACAGCAACAAAACCCACACAAGCCAAGTGTGGTTGATGTACACCGGTAACATCAGCTCCTGGGAGGCAGGCAGGCAGGTCGGGTGTTTAAAGCTGTCCCTATCTACACACCCTGTCTCAAACAATCACGACAAAACCACATGCGGCCATCCATGGTGGTGCACACTATTAATCCCAGCATTCAAGATTCAGAGGCAGGTGGATCTCTGGCAGAGGCAGGCCAGCCTGATTTACACAGCAAGTTCCAGGCCAGCCAGAGCTACATACTGAGACCTTGGCTCAAAACAACAAAAGATGCTGAGGCAGGAGGGTCCCTCCAATTTCAAAATCAGTCAGGACCACGGTTTTGGTCTTCGGCTTTACAGAAATATCTACCTCTTCAGTTCATTGACTCTGCTTTCTCAACAAGCACTGCTCTCAGGGATCAGCACACATTTTCAATTCCATTTTCTTCTCTACAGCAGCAAGCCCTACAGCACCTCTTCAATGCCTTCATTAACTTCACTCTACACAATCATTACAGAATAATCAAAATTCCAGTATACGGAGTTGGAATGATTTCTCTCCACAATTCTTTACAAATCTAAGGTGTTCCTATGGCTCAGCAACCAAGTAAAATTGAGTATAATAGAAACAGGTTACAGAAACAAAAAAATTGTCAAAGCAATCAAAATATGACGTATTGGTACCTAGGAATGTACAGACATTCTAAAAATTTACTCTCCAAAAGTTTATTTTTATAACTTTACTTTTCCTTTCACCTTTATATATTCTAAAAAGTAATTTTCCACTTAAGATGAATTCTTTTCATATTAACTAACATCCCAAATTTGACTGCATACAAATCAGACTGGTATTTATCCCTAAAAAGGTATTTTCATCGCTAATCTATTTAAAAAGAAAATAAATTTTTATAAACTCAAAACAACACCAGAATGTGATCATTTCACATTCACCAGAATCTCTCGTTTTGAAATTCAAGTAAAGACGCCGTTCTACTCCTATCACTGAGATGATAACTAACACTGCTGAAATTTATGAATCATCAAAGCTGCAGAGAACGGCAGAACTGCTCATAGACACTTTACCAGAAACGCCAAGTCAAACCACTGGACAATTCAGGTGCAACACCTAGACTCGGTCGGTTTGGCTTTGGTATCAGAGCGCACCAAGGGAAGTCTGAAACGGAGAACCCAAGACTAAACCATTACAAAGCCCCTGCTACCGGAGAAGCCTCAAGCCCTCTGGCCGCTAGAGCACTCCACTGCACTCAGCCGGCCACGTGGCTGTCACAAGCAGAAGACAGGAGAAAGAGCACCAACTAACCTGGAAATAATTAACCGCTCACATCGGAGTGGCTGCGAGTAGGAAAAAAAAAGTCTTGTCATTTATCTGTACTTAGGACTCCCCCACCCCGCCCTGCACCACCTATAACATGAAAAGGAAGGTTTTCAAGCAGAAACGAAGTGCAAGAAGAGTGCGATTTCCCTACGAAAAAGCACCCCAATTTGCCTGAGGTGCGGTGGAAGAGTCTTTTTTTTTTTTAAATGCATGAGGGTAGCCGGGGGCGGAGTTTCGAGTGAAGAGCGAGCACCTCGCAAATGGACTACCCCCCCCCCCTACTCCCTCCGGGTGCCGGGCTTCAAGCCACCGGCCGCTGCAGACCGGCCAGCTATCAAGCTCAAGGCCGTCGAGCACCGCGGACCTCTCCCGTCGGGGCCGAGAACCGAAGGGCAGAAGTAGCCTCGGCCCCAGAGGAGATGGCGAACAGGAAGTGTCCATATTGCAACGCTCCAACAGTCCAAGTCCCAACCCACCCGGCCAGCTACCCCCGGGGGCGCCAGCCCGAGGGGCGGCAAGGAGCAGGGCCGGGGTCGGCCACCCCA